CGATGATGCATTTGGAAAGAAGCATTTGTAAACCATAAAACTTTCATCTCTACCAGGCTCAGAATCCCACAGTAGCTCCCTAATTTCTTTAAGCCATTTTCTGTCTGGTTTTTAGGAGTCTTCATAACCGGTCTGCACCTTACCCGGCCACCTCATTTCTTACCATTTTCCACTACAGACTCATAACAATGAGGCCAGCCTTCTTCATTCAGCATTCTCTCCACTGGTTTTTCCCTGGAACACCAACAATGACCACCAAGCCCCTCTGCTCATCTTCAGCATCTTCATTCTCCCGCATTTGTTCAGCCGTTGAACACTGAACACTCTGACAAATACTGTCCTATGTACTGGGGATGCTTCTGGGAGCAAGAAAGAGAAGTTCACTGCCATCAAGGGCCCTCCGAGAGAGCTCTTGACAGTAAACAGGGTGTTCCCTGCCAGCATCCTCCTCCCTATGTGAATCCTCCAGCTCTGATGCTCTCTCCTCTGTGAAGTCTCTTTTAAGTACCATTAACTCATTATCTTCTCTCTCTTTTTTCCTACAGCTCTTGTGGGCTGTTTCATATAATTTAGGGTATGATTTTATTTTTTAAAATTCTCACCTAAAAAGCACCACCCAGGAAGCTGGTTTTTTTCCACACTCTTATAACCCAGAGTAGACATCAAATGCTTGTTGATTTCAGAAGAGCACATCAGAAAAGCTGGGCATGTGTGAGAAACTCTCCCAGGAAATAGAACCCACCATTGCCCCTCAGTGGCACCTGTATGGTGGGCTGGTCGGCCCTGCTGGGAGGGCAGCACTAGCAAGGACAGTCTGATTCACGGCTTGTCCAAAGCCAACCACAGGGGAAGCCATGCTCAAGGACATCTTCCTGCTGCCGGCAAAAGACGAGTGTCTCCTAGCAACCGGCTTCCAGTGGCTTCCTGTCCTGGGAGCCTCCCTGCGCTCACAGCTTTACATCCTGGGGTTTTGTATTTTGGCCTTGCTAATCACTGTGTTTATTCTAGGTTCTGAAAATTGAGGAATAAATGCAGGTTAGCTGCTGACGTTCAAGCGGAGACACTATTTTATTCATAACCTCCTTTCAGCAACCACTCATGACTTTCATGGAACAGAATGTTTGATCTTAGTCTAAAAAGGGTAAATATATTTTTTAAAGATTTCATTTATATCAAGGCAGTTGGTTTGAAAGATACATAAAAAAGGAAAAGCACACATTCTTTCCATCGAATAATCAAAAAGTACTCAGACCTTTTCAAAACAGATACACTATCATTCAAAACCTGTTACAGCAATAAACTCTAACTTGGCAAGTTCACAGATGCAGAAGGAAAGGCAAGGCAAATTGGAAGAAAATGGTTCAAAGGTCCTTAAAAGTTTTGGTGGCTTAGAATTATGTCTGCTGCAATATGGATTGAGCATTTATTTCCTCCATGTTCTTCCTAGAAAGTCTAACCTTAGTTTCAAGGTATATAGTGCTACATTTTTATTTTTGTGGGATTGAACTCCGCAGTTGATGTTGCTTTGTAACATTTTCTCTTGTTTTTAGCAAATATTCATCAAGACACAAATTCCTCATCTGTTAAAAAAATCAATCAGACTTCCCACAGTGAAGAGCTCAAAACTATAAGTATATCCTTTATTCAAAAAAACCCATAAATGTAAGTTAAAGGTATGATTACTTGTCTCTTTCATTAAGAAAACTCAAAGACTTAAGGTGAGTTGAGTGCCCAGAGTTAAATATATGAGAGGGCTGGTAAACCCCAGAACTCTTTTCCAGCAAAGCCACCAAAGCCTGGTACTGCCCGGGGTTCCCTGAGCAGCAAGTTGAGGTTTGGAGTCTGCTACTGCTGTATTTAGGCAGTGAGCTTGGTCTCTGCAGACTTGTGAGTTCTTTGGAGGTATCCCTCAGTTCCTCCCCCCATTTCCCTCCCCCTGTCCAAGCAATACAGCCACAAAGTCATGAGTCCAAGATTAATTCTAACTGTTTTGGCTGCAGTAGACCCTCTATAAACCTAAGAATGACTTCTGCCTTCTCAGGGATAGTACAGGATTTACCAGGTAGCACCAGTGACTTCTAACTTTTCAGCATCTACTTTTGAAATTTATCCATGGATGGAGTTTTTAATAGGGGGTGTTGCACATTCCTTAGAATAACTCACAGGCTCCTTAGCTTCCTATTTTGGGGTTCTGTACATATTTGTTTTCGGGGGTACAAAATGAATCACATGGCTACAGCAGGGCACTCCTGAATGACTCTTGTTTATTCATTAAAGAAACTTGTACATGAATCAAGGCTTTCCTTATGGTCTCAGGCTGTTCTTCATTCCCTGAAATGGTCAGAACAGCCATCAAGCATCTTGGAAGAATGCATATCTTTAAAGGCCATAAAGAAAGAACGTTTGGTTAAAATGAAAAACTGCTCTGCCACCCACTCGTCTGAGTTCTCCTTTCTTCATCTTTAATCAATATGTAAATCTGTTCACTTGATGTTTTAATACAAGTTGAGGTAAATTCAGCTTCATCATGTTTTTCCACAGAGGGGAAAAAGTAACCCTGACTCTTCCTCTGGCCCTTTTCAAATATCTACATGCAGTGGTGGAATGAGCTGAGGACATGAAAGGCCCTGGGAGGCAGGCCTGTGTCTTACCCTGCTGGGCCTAGTATTCCAACCACCACACAAGATTAATTCAAGAATAACAGGCCTGGGTCCCAACCTTAATCATTTCCATTTTCATTATGGTTTACACATTAATTGTAAATGACCAGATTGATTAGGGACTCTTTAAAAAAGCCAAACAGACTGGGAGGCAGTGCAGGATAGCATTAACTGTATAGGTTTGACATTTCCATAGACCTGGACTAAACATCCAGACCTGTCATTTACTAGCTGTGTGACCTTGGGAAAGTCACTAGGCTTCTCTGGGCCTCAAATTTTCCTTAACTATAAAATAGGGATTGTAACTACCTGTATGAAAATCAGTGTGAGAATAAAATGAAACAATGTATGCAAAGATTTTGCATAGTGCCTGTAACTACCGTTTATTGAATAAAAGACTGTAATACAAACTGCTTTGATATGTGTGGCATACTAACTGTCTTACCAATTGTCTATTACTTATGTACAAAGCACTGCGGTGAGTGCTATAGAGACCCCTCAAAATTTTGGATGCTCTCTTTTCTTAAAAGCTTTATAACCCGATTACTAATCAAGGAGACAACACAGAAATCCATAGAAAAAGTAAAATTGCAGTTGGATAAAACTTCTCTTGGAGTGCTGCCCACTCTCAGTAGTCAAGTTCACACCTGAGGCTGACAGTGCTTCAGTTATTGTTTCATGGGTCACACCTGAACCAACTAGGGCAGTCAGTGAAATAACATTCAACATTCATCCAACAAATACTGATTGACCTACTGTGTGCCAGGCACTGTGCCAGGTGATGGAGATGTCAGTCTTCCCGGAGTTTAAGAAGCACTTAGGGTCTGTTTTAAGCATTTCATATGAATTAACTCTTTTAACCTTTCAACAAAACTAAGAGGGGGCTACTAGCATCAGTCTCATTCCACAGATGAAAAAACTAATCACAGAGAGGTTACATAACTTGTCCAGGGCCACACAGTAATAGACAGCAGAATTGGATTGGAAACAAGCAAAGTGGTTCTAGGGTCTGTCCTGGTATCACCAATACCTTACTGCTTTGTAACAGCACCTTTTCTTAGGAGGAGACCATTGCATGCCTCTGGGGTGGTTCCTTTACTCCTGCTTTTGAAGATGGATTCTCTAGATGAAAAGACTGAGGGTTCACTCTTTTCTTTCCTTTCGTCACTGAAGACCTGAGAAGGGACTGTAAAGTCCCTGTGGACACTAGTTAGCCCTCCATTAAGCAAGCTGTGTGTCATCAGTTATCATATTTAAACCAAGCTCTTGCTGTTTTGAATAAGAGTTAAAAACATACTTTGATGCATTAAATAGACCTACCTTAGGGGAGGTTTACTTCATAATTGAACACAATAGATTTCTAACTTGAAAGCTACTGCAGGCTTTCAAGTATTATTTAAATTGTCCTAGACACAAATTACTCATAAAATTGAACTGTCACTTCATAGCAGAATGAAAATTAATATGCTCCTCTTGATTCCTGAACTTGACCATAAATTCCCTTACGCAAAACACTCTGGAATTTGGAGAGCTAAGATCAGAACCTTTTTCTCTGCTCCATGTCATGTCTTATGTCTCGTGTGGTAAAAGGCAAAGAAAACAAGCTATCAGTAGTAAGCAGAACGAAGAAACAATGTTTAGTCAGGCCGTAACATCACTGTCTTTCCTAGTTCTTTAAGTGTTAGAGAAATAATTTGAAAAAGACAAAAAAAGAAAAAACTGACTCATATTTGCAAACAGAAAATACCAGAAAAGGAGATAAATGGCTGCCCAAACGGCCTCAGCACATAATTGTTTTTAAGGGAGGGCTGCAGTCCTCCATAAGCTCTTTTCAGAATCTAGACCATCACAGACACATAGGAGACTATTAGACTAGGCGTTAAATTTTGTCCATGGTTAGCAAACGACATGCAAAAAACTAAACTGCTCCCTTGAAGTTGAAATCAAAGAGTGTCATGAGCAGCCTTATGTATTTCTGAATGGGAGAGAACACACATATGTGATGGAGGCAATCCAGAGAGAGGCGCACTTCCCAGAGGCTGTTTTAAACAGTGACAGATTACAAAATCCTAATGTGATATGTTGGAGCATGAAATACACACACACACACACACACACACACACGCACACTTGCTTGTGAAAAATCCTGCTGAAATCTTTAAAAAGCCGAAGTTTAGAAGAACACGTGCTATGGATGCACCAACAGTAATTTCAAAATCACTCTGTTTGAGTCCACTCCTCACCTCTTTTATCACTTTGACACACTCTTTAGGAAATAACAGAGAAAGAGAAATATGAAACTGAAGACAGAAAATGTAATTATAAAACAAAGCCACCCACCTTGCTTTCAGGGTCAGGAGATACAATAGCCTTCTTTTGCAGCAAGAATGAACTTAACACCCATGTGTTAAATGATCACTTATCTATTTAAAAGAAAAGGAAATGTTTTTTTAAAAGAAAGCTATCTCTCAGTCCTTCTCACTGCAAGTCTTACCAAAAAATAAAATAAAAGCAGTGTACTGTGGCTCTCTGGCACAAGGCACAAGGCAGAAAGCCGAGTCCTTAAGTCACTATTCCCCTGTTTCGCAAAACAAAATAAAACCAAAAGCCAACAGCAAAAGGTGTTTGGCAGGTGGGAAAGGGTCTTAAAACACCTTGTGCCCTCCTGGGTCCCTCCCAATGCCTTCAGTGTGGGCTGTGGAAGCAACACCGCTCAACACCAATGTCACCATCAGCTGTTTAAATGCCACAAAAGTACACTTAGAAATGAGAGGAAAGTGGGGCCAGGCGCGGTGACTGACATGGATATGTACAGCCAGCCTCACTGCCACTAGAACAGCCTTAAATGCCCACACAAGGAGAATAAAAAGAAAAGCACATTTTGCAATAGAATGAATACTTTTTTTTTTCTTTTCTTTTTTTTTTTTTTTAATTGAGACCGCGGAAAGTCACATGACCCTGCATGTAGCCTTTTAGGAAAGCAACCGAAATGGTAAAGCCAGGAGCGGGGGCTGCCTGCTTCCTCCTGCAGCCTTTCAGCCCGTCCTGTCGCGCGTCCACATTCTTCTGGGCGCATCTGTGGAGCTATTAAGTGGGATAATCCCTCTGGCCTTTGATACATTTCTGGACATGATTATTTCATTACTCGCAGTATATCAGTAGGATCATAATAAAAAGGACTTCTGACAACCTGCCAAGAGTTTTGTGGCCTTGTAAACACAAAAGTGCTCTAATAAAATTTTATTAAGTGTTAAAAAGTCATAAAAAGTGAAATAACATAAACTACAAAATTTACTGTCCTCAGCAAATGCTGAAAATATCTTCCACAGTAAAATTAAATTAGCATGTAATAGACAGAGAAGCAGTGTGGAGTGGATTTAAAAGAGGATCCAGGGAAAATGACACTGTAACCCAATCAGGGTCACGGGGATTTAATTCGGATTTTCCCCCCTAAATGTGGATAAATGTGCTGATTACAGACGAGAGCTTGGGGGTTACTGGAGTCTCACACATTGTCAATACTTCGGAAGGAATAATATATTGCAGATTGTAACCAGCACGGGGAGCCGGCGAAAGGCAGGGTGTCCACTAGAGCGCGCTGAGAGACCGGGAATCCCCG